ATATATTGTTCTTTTGTGATAATTTTTTAATCATTCTTATCAGATTTGTATCATTTGATTGAAATAATGTTGAATCATTCTTTTGGAATGATAATTGTATCATTCTATTTAGAACAATTATTTATTATCATATTTTTGTAATGATTTTTCCAATTGGACACTTTTATATTATATTATTAGACCAATTGAAATCGATTTTAGTTTAACTTTAATCAACTATAAATTAGTTATAAATAGAATGGCTGATTTTTAACTGATTTTTGAATTTAATCTGAACTGCTAATGAATAGAAAATGTCGATTTTTGATTTTAACTAGTATATATATTTACTTATAATTGTATTTTTGTATAAATAAGATAAGAATAATTCATATAAAAAATAATTTAAATATAAGTTCAAGAACTTATAATAAGAATTCAGAAGTTTAGAATCTAAGAATAAAGGATTTTTAGTATACAAAATCTATAATAAGAAATCTTTTTTTTGAACTATAAACTTTATTTTTTTTTTACGTATTTATATATTTAATGATTGATCTAAATTTGATTAATTGTGATAGGACTTATTTCATAATAATCTTAATTAAATATACATATTACTTTCAGTTATTAAGTCATCAATATCTTAAGTTTAATAGTTGAATCTAGAATTAATACCATTGGTCCTTTAGTTTTTATTTGAAACTTATATTTATCACTATTTTTTTTCTTTTAATTACAATAAAAAACCTATATATTATTTTCTGATTAATAGAGCCAAATTTTCTTATCCAACTATATGGGTGTGTTTCTAGCAAAATCAAGGTATGGATCATATGATTTACTATATCTCATAACTTGATTTTACTGGAAACGTTCCCATATGATTTAAATTTACCTTTTTTATTGATATTCTGACTATGACTTATCAAATTCTAAAAAAATATTAAAAGTTAAGTAATTACTTTTATCATTATTACTATTTCTATTTTATTATTATTTAATTTGATGATATTTATAGTTTGTTATATTATTCTCAGTATTATCATTTATTTCTATGATATTACATTTTTGATCAAATATTTTATTTCTTTAAATTTAAAAATTAAAAATTTTTATTATATATATTATAAAATGAATTTATACATAATTATATTATATTCAATCAAAGTTTTATTTTACTTAAAACAAATTCAAATATCCTAATAAAATATGAATAAATATATACATAATCTTAAAATATTTACTAAATAAGATATTAGGATTATTTACTGAATTTAAACATTTAATTAATAGACAAAATTGATTTAATACTTGAAACAATTTTTTCATATAAATATCTTTATTTTATTTATTGAAAAATTATGAAAAAAGATTACTTAATTAAAAAATTAAAGTTATTTCTTGATAAAACAAATTTAAAATATTAAAATCAAGTGTTTTTTTATAATAAAAAAAAATTTATTTTTTATAAGTTATAAATATAAAAAAAATATGCTAAAATTAAAATAAAATCAATTATTATACTGTAATTAATTGGAAAATCAAGATAAAAAGCATAAATAATATGGAATTTTACAATAAAATGGGAAAAAACTACTTATTACTAATCATAAAAATAACAATAATGACTTTTAGATTTCATTGTTTTGTAGATTTTCCTTTTCTAAAGGCTCTATATATATAAAAAAAATAAATATAAAAAATTGAAATCATATAAAAACAATATGATAAAATAATGCATTATTTTTTAAATGATATATACCATTATTTTGCAGATCAGTTAAAGGAATGATTAATTTAAGAAAAAATATTATTATCAGTAATATTAGAATAAAGTGGATTTGTTATTAAGGCTAAAGATAAAGTTCTACTAATAAGTTAAACTTAAGTGATTTCTTTTCAACCTTCTTTAAGGATTAATTGATTTACTAGCATTAGTTTATCATAGAAGATTTATTGAGGAAATTAATGAGATATCTTCAAAAGTCAAAACATGTTTTCCATTTGAAGAAGTTTTTTCAATGATTTCTTTTATTAATTTGTTTCATAATATATAGAATTTACTAAGTAGATCTTTAATGTTAGATTGATATAAATGTTTTTTGTTAAAAAAAAACATTAAACAGATTATGACAAACTTTTAACCAAAAAAAATTTGGCTTTTTGTCTTCAAGATACCCTTCTATATAAAATTCAGATACTGAATTTACATTTTTAACCACTTGAATGATAATACCTGATGTTATCACATCTATTCCAGTAAATGGAATATTATTAAAATTTAAGTTAATATGTTTAATGGATATCATATTAACCTTTAAAATTTATAAATCATATAAAATTTTTTGAGAAAAAAATACGTTAAATTTTTTAAATAAAAATAAAGTTGTACATACTAAATACCAATTTTGACAGGCAACGAAATGAGTGGCATTGCCAACCACAACCTGTTTTATATGGTGTTTTATTGAACTATCCAAAGGAATAAATGCTTTTAATTTTAAGTAAAAATATCTTTTTGGGGTCTTCTTTACACATTTTCACAATAGTAAAACTGTAATTTTAATGTCATTTTTTGATTTAATTCATAACTATAGCAAAAAGTTGATAGTTTTGAAGGCATTTTTTCTTAATCAATAATAGCTTATTAATATTAATGATATTGAAAAAAAAAAATCCTTTTATTTTATATAAAAAAATATTTTTTCCTTACTGTTTCTAAAATCAAAAAATCTTAAAAAAAAAGATCAATGAATATCAATCTCGTTATTAGCATTGTTGATGTGAGCATTATTCTCAAAACCAGTTTTTTTTTTTAGTCGATAATTATATAATAATGAGTGTTCGTTTTGGAGAAGGGTAGAAAGGTAAAAGAATTCATGAGCAGATCTGACTAAAAAATACCAACCAACAAAAATATTGTAATACAACACATGATTTTTATCAATTAGGAAAAACATAACCATCTGTTTCTACTTTTTTTTTTCATTTTTTTCAATTTTATCTATCTGTATAAATGACTTTAGAATATTTGCAGAGCGTTGCTAATGATTATGAAAGGTTACTTGAAAATGACAAAAGTTATGATGTCATTATTTATGCCGGTGAGAACGAAAACGTTAAAGAACTACATGCTCTTTCAAATATTTTATGTATCAGGTCGCAATATTTTTATGATGAATTAACCAAGGAAAATGCTGAGAAAAGGGAAGGGAAATTTATTTTAAAATTACCAAGTATTCCTCCACAAGTTTTTGAAATTATCTTGAGGTAAATAAATTAAATAGTATGCACGACAACCACGAAAATAAAATAAACCAAGTTACTAATAAATATATTTTCTTTTTGAATTTCAGATTTATATATTGCGGAAAGGTTGACTTGACGAAATTAGAAGGTCCTGAGTTATTAAAGCTCTTAAAAGCAGCAGATGCGCTTAATCTCCAAATTTTAGTACCCGGAATTGAAGAATATTTGATTCAAGAACATCATGAGTTTTTACAAAAAAATCCTATAGGAATTCTTGAAACAATTTATCAATATGAGTCCGTTACGAAATTACGAGATTTTAATCTTGAAAAAATTTGTGAAGACCCTGAAGAGATATTTAATTCTGCTAAATTTATCAGTATAAAAGCACCTTTATTGGAATATCTTTTAAAACGAGATGATTTAATTTTAGATGAAATTGATATTTGGGATAGCTTGATTAAGTGGGGTTTTGGTCAGAACCCGTCCATTCCTAAAGATGTCAATAGATGGAGCAAAGAAGAAACTACAATTATGGAAAGAACTCTACATAAACTTATCCCTTTAGTTAGATTTAATTATATGTTTTCAGAAGATTTTCTTGAAAAGGTGCTTCCTTTTAAAGAATTACTACCGAAGGATTTGTTTATTAACTTCTTTGCATATTTTTTGGCACCAGAAAAGAATTTAAATATTAATATACAACCACCTAGAAAGTCAAAAATTGTTTATGATTCAATCCTAATTAAATCTCAGCATTTTGCTATATTTTCGAGTTGGATTGATAAGAAAGAAAATTTACATTACGAAAAAAAAAGGATTCCTTATACGTTTGACTTACTTTATCGTGCCAGTAGGGATGGCAATACACCTGCCGCATTTCATCAGAAATGTGACAACAAAGGGGCTACTATAGTTATAGTAAAAATTAAGGGAACGGAACAAATAGTGGGAGGATATAACCCACTTGGTTGGGATCAATGCAATAATTATAAGTCAACTGATGATAGTTTTATATTCTCATTCGTAAGTAGAACAAACCTTCAAACTGCAAAAGTAGGTTATATTATTAATAATAATGCTCAATATGCTATTAATTGTAATCAAAATTATGGTCCAATATTTGGTTATGGTCATGATATATGTTGGAATATTAATAATAATTGGAATTCTAATAATCACCCACATACTTATTCTCAAATTGATATTCCAAAAGGTCAGTTTCAAGCAGATGATTATGAGGTATTTCAAGTTATCAAAACATAAATATTTGTCATTTCATCATTACTTATGTTTTTAGATAAAAAAAAATATTTATATTGTAATACGAAAATTAATATATGACATGACATTTCACTCGAATTAATATTAATTAATATAGCTCTTAATTCAGAGAATATGACATTATTTTCTTTCTTAATTTCGAGCTTTGTTGCGTAGTAATTACAATTGCGGAGGAAAAACAGCCTATGTTTTGCCGTTGAATTTTCTGGAAAAACATCAATATTTCGGAATTTCGTCGAAATCAATAAAAACTAAAATTCATAAAGTTTAACTCTTCACCTTCGCCAAACAAAATTATCTATCTTTCATCGCTATTGTAATTAATATCAGAGCATGTTTCTATCCTACATAAACTAAGTTCTTTGTCAAAAAAAAAAAAAAATAAATCTTAATTCCAACCTAATATATCGGGATTAATCTTATTTTCTTAACAAGAAAATTTAAAAATAATATCATTTGACTAGTTTCCCGAAAAGGTAGAAATTATGTCATTAAAACAACAAGTTTGTTTGTCTCAAAAAGGCAGGTTGCAGTTAACAATAACATAAACTAATAAATAATCGTAATTTTCATATGCTGTTCAAAATATCGATTCTAAAAGTGCTTTTGAAGAATTAAACTTTTGGCGATTTCGCGATTGTTGTACCCTTAAAAGTGATATACTAAATTCCCCACGAGTAAGTCAATTAATAAAAGTCAATGTTGATTTTGTCCTTGGAAAAGAAATGTTATTGTTTTTCTGTTGTTTCCAAATTTACCCACAATTTAGGACAATAGCTGCTGATCATATCTAAAACTCGTAAACATAAACATGTATTTCTTGCTGTGCCACTTGACAACGAATTTATTTGTTTCAAACAAAAGTCTATTGTTTCCAAATTTTGCATAGAATTGGAAATATAAAGCGGAAGCTTTTGCAGCAATCAAAAAAAAAATAAAAAAATTGTAAATACAATAATAACAATACTTTCTTTTTTTTAAAAAAAATAAAAATAAAAATAAAATAAAATAAAATAATATCTCGAATATAAATAACAAATATGCCTTCAGAATTTTGGTCGGATGTAATTAACGATTACGAAAACTTATTTGAAACAGGAGAAGGATACGATACAATTATTTACACTGGTGAAAACGAGGAAGAAATCCATGCTCATTCAATAATCATGCGCTCTAGATGTCAATATTTTCGAGCGGCACTTTCGGATAAATGGGTCGAGAAAAAAGATGGAAAATTTATTTTTAAAAAACCGAATTTTGAACCCATCATATTTCGAGTTATTCTTAGGTAATGTACCAAAAGTGAGAAAAAAAAATGAGATGTTTGAAATTATGAATAATGATTTATATATTTCTATAATTTTGTAACGTTTAGATTTATTTACTGCGGAAATGTTGATTTGACCGGATTAAAGAAACTTGAATTGCTACAACTTTTCACGGCATTAGATGAAATTAACATCCAACCGTTAATGACTCATGTTCAAAAATACTTAACAGAGAATATATCAATGTTCTCTAAATTTGATTCTATCGAAATGCTTGAAATAATTCATCAACATGAAATTTTTTCAGAATTATGGGACGAACATCTTGAAATTATCTGTGAAGATCCAAGAATTGTATTCTCTTCAAAAAATTTTATCTCACTGAGTGAAATGTTATTAGTGGATATACTCAAATGCAACACATTGAAGATTGATGAAATCACAATTTGGGAGAATGTATTAAAATGGGGACTTGATAAACATCCATCATTTGGCAAGGATACAAAGAAATGGGATAAAACACAATTTAAGTTGTTAAGAACCACACTGAGTAAGATCATTCCCTTAGTTAAATTCCGTGATATTGATTCAACAAATTTTTATTATCAAGTGTTACCATATCAAAAATTATTACCAAAAGACGAATTATTTGAATTCTTGGAAAAGCATTTGGTTCGAACAATTCATAGACCCACGTTAACTAGATATCGTCAAGCTTCAAATTCCAATATTCTTAATCCACATCATTTGGCCATTTTCTCGACTTGGATGGAAAAGAGAAATTCATATTACAAAATACACAACAATCCTCATAAATTTAAAACATTATATCATCAATTATTATGTGATGAATTTTTTTTCAAATCAAATATCATGGATCTTGAAACAGTTCATACATCTTGTAATAACGCAAAAACTATTTTAATTGTGGCAAAGGTCAAAGATTCAGATCAATTGGTTGGAGGATTTATTCCAATTCGATTAAGAAAACCTAAAGATTCGGTCGTGGGAAATAGAAAATCTAATTCATTTTCCTCTACAAAAGAAAGTTTTATTTTCTTCTTTACGAATTGCAATGATGTTAAAACAGGAAAATTCGCTTACGTCACCGAAACAAAATATGCTATAAATTATAATGACAAATGTGAAATTGGATTTGGTCGCGGTCATGATTTAGAATGCAAAAGTGACGGCAATTGGACAAGCACGCCTACTTCTTACCCTTCAATCGGTATTCCAGCCGTTTTTAAAATATCACAATTCGAAATATTCGAGGTCATTAGATTCTTTAACGGCGAATAAATTTACGAAATTACATTTTTATATATATATATTATCTCATTTTCTATATATGTACTGTACATGCATTTTTAATAAATCTTTTTTTTTCAGTATAATAACATTTATAGTGATCTTTGTGTAATTGAACCAAGGTGGCGATTAATTAGTGGGCCGAAAAAAAAAAATATTACATGGCTATATATAAAGTACAGTGTATTGAGTCTCATGATAAAGAAGAAGCTTAGCTCATTTCCTTTCCTTGAACAGTTTGAATCTACCGAAAAAATGTTTCTTGCTGAATTGTATTTTTTAACCGTCACATTTAGTACTTTATATGCAGTATTGTAAAGTATCATTGGTAACTGTGTCACTCACGTGAATTATCAACATATTTTTAACTCGTTTTCGATGGGTAACAAAATATCACGTGACTTCCAGTGCCCGGACATGATACTTTTGCGACTTGCGTAAGTTTATCACTTTTAGGTTATCTGATATTGTCTCGCTATGGTGTCATTACAGTACTGAGATTCGTTCCCTTATAGCGATGTTGCGAGAATATTTCGTGTAATAGAATTCTTATTCCGCAAGAAATTGCTCTATAAAATATCACAGATCACACAAATTAAGTAGATGATAAAGGATTATCCCTCGATAATCAAAAGCCGCCTTTTTACAGAAAGATGACAATGATGAAGATAGCGATTATGAAGAGAATGATAGCGATTTGTGGATGATGATAATGGGCATTTAATGAAGGTTTGATGGATTTTTCCGCTATGATGAGATTGGGAGCGAGAGAAAATGGTTAGTACAATAATTGAGTTAGATATCAAATTTGTAATTCATTTTAAACATTATATAAAATAATAAAATAGGGTATCAGTCTTAATTATTTTTAAAATCTGTATATTCGGATTTGAATTTTAAATATATTCATGATTATGGTAGCATATATTATTATTAGTGCGTGACAACAGTAAGATTGAGCATGCAATTCTCATCGAATCATTCTTTTTTGAGCTGGTCCCGGAACTTATTATAAATTTTTTGCGTTGCGCTCCTAGAACTTCAAAATGTGGCATTCGATATATGTCCTTTAGAGTAGGGATTGGAATCGATTTAATCGAATCTCCAAATTTTTTTTCATGGACGTTCAACCTGGCTTCATCCCAGTTTCTAATTTTTGCAAAATGATAAACACTTAGGCAAGCATTGAAAAATACTTTGGAGTAGATCGATTAATATGTAAAAAATAAAAAAGATTCGGTTCGATTCGATTCATTTTACTATGTTAAATCGATTTTCGCAGAATCGATTCCCAATCCCTACTTTAGAGCCATTCCATATTAATTTAGAATACGCACCTTTATAACTATCCTAAAGACAGTTCCCATTCGTTTCTGTTTAAACTTTACATATCCCGATTACGTCCAACACATAATTATTTTAATCTTAGATATGTTGGACCTTTTGCAATAGAAAGAGGGGAAAAATCGATTTTACTTTTTATATAACAAACATGATGTATTTTCAGATCGAAAATATGTCCAGATTTAGCATTAAATCATTTTATATTTTTTTTCCCGGCAGTTTCCCCTCTTTCAATTGCAAAGATCCCAAATATATTTTGATAGTAAATCCATTTATTTACTCATTTTATAATTAATATTTTTTTATGATTAAACGTAATTAGATAATACCCACACGGATTCCTTAATATAATGATAAATGCTGAAAATCATTAATAGGCAAACCAAGACGGCTTCATTGCGCAGCAATTATTTTTTATGCGTTACAATTAAATCGGGAGATTTTTAGTAATGTCTGTGCTCAAAAAAAAAAAAAAATCATAAATAATAATAATAATAAGATGCAAGATATAAAAAACGTGTAAATGTTTTATTAATACGCCGTTTTTCTAATTATCTATTAATTGCCTCATTTTATTAAATGATTAAGTTTGCACCTATAAAAATCGGTCAAAAAATTCAAACTATAAATGGTTAGGACAATCTCGAACAAAGAAACAATGGTAAGATTCCCTTTCCATAATTAAGTTGTGATGCATTGTGGCGTAATAAATACAACATTTATGTAATACAAAAGCTCATCCTCTCCGATTTTATTATATTTTCCCCTTCTTTCTTGAACTTTACAAAAATCATATATTATAACAAAAAAAAATAAAATAAATAAAATAAAATAAAATAATTTTTTTCATTTTACTTTTTTAATTTTTTTTTAAAAAAAAAAAATTTTTATTTGTAACATCAAAAGAATACGATACCTCAGATAAAATGTCCAGTTTGAAAGAAATCAAATCATGTGAGATCGTCCTTCCATCACCCAGCCTTTATATTCCAAATGGTACATCACCATTAACAATCAAAGGAGACATTAAACTCATACTTACTGCTCCATTAAAAGTGACTCAAGTTGTATTGAAGCTTCATGGATTTTCTCAATTTAATAATTCTCAAAAATCTGCAACACGTAATCTTACAACCAAAGATTTGATTAAACAAAAACTTACAGTCGTCAATGTTACAAAAACATACAACACCGGTGAAAATTTACTTCCTTTCGCAATCACCATAAAAACTCCACAAAATCTTCTTGGAAGTGTAGAAGGTAAACATGCCGCTGTACGTTATGTCTTAACTGCCGAATTAACAAAAGCAAGTCCACATGCTATTCAAAAAACCTCAAAGAATGTAATTCTTCGTAAAAATGTATTTGCGAATGGGGTTAATATTGATGAGAAAGTCGTGTATGAAGATGAAAGGGAAGGATTATTAAAGTACAAAGTTCAGATTTCCAAATTTGTGATCATTGAAGATGAAGGAGATGTTGGAGAAGACGAAAATGATACACCTACTAAGGAACCTCGTGCGAAAGTCAAAGTAGAAGCTACATTCGAGTCTTTAGATAATGCTGGCGTTAAGGAAGTCAAAGTTGAAGCCTTTGAGTACGAAATGTATAGTCTTACAAAATTCAATTCTACAACCGGATCTGCCTCATTAAATAATTCTACCGCTCCAAAAACGTAAGTTTTATTTTGTTTTTAAAAAAAAATTTTTTTTTCCTTTTTTTTTATATCATTAATATTTCTTTATTTCTTTATTAGAACAACTTCAGCTCCTAAGACTAAAACTCCGACAACAAGAGCCACAGCAAAGATTCCAGCATTTTCTAATGTTAATATACCAAATCCTCATCATACCAAACCTCTTTTAACTCCCCCGATTACAATTCCGGTGTCTTCTACTGCATCTGAGCCTGTCTCATTTGAAATTCCGATATACCTTAGAATGAAGCCTGATTCGAATGTTAATTTCTTGGAAATCAAACATGAAGTTATCATGACGATAAGATTCGATAAATTCATGTTAGCTCCGTTGAAACTTGAAGTTCCTATTTCCGTTATAACCAAAAAATAATAGTAAAATTAAAATATAAAATAAAAGATTATATATTTTCATTAATTCATTTTTTAAAAAAAAATTTAAAAACTAATTATTATGTTTCATTTTCCTTTTTCATTTTTTTTTCTATATAGTTGTTTTATTTTTTAAAAATAAAATGAAAATTAAATAAAGGGTAGATTTTTTGAAATGGAGATTTCTTAAAAAATGTCGTGTATGGTAAATCGAGAAAATATATATGTGATGCATAAAACGTAATACAACGTCCATACATGAACACGAGTAAGATTTCCATATATATTAATTGGAACAAATGAATTGAAGGTATATAATATTCAAAAAAAAGAGCGCGTACTAAAAATATTTAAGATCGTTTATGGGAACGATTAAATAGATATAACATTCGGACGCGAATATAAAGTCGATAGTATAACACTGTTTAATTTACTTTTTTATGAAATTTTAAATAGTTTGCCCTCCCTTCCCTATTAGACAATTCGATCTTCCGTGACTTTTTTTTTCGAAAAATTATTATAAACCCAATTGTCAAGTTCAAAATTCAGAGAGAGAAATTATCTGCTTAATGAATTATTTCTTATCACAATACCTTTTATCTCCAATATTTTATTTTTTTGGCATTTAATAATAGTTAATGCACAATATAATCATCAAATTTAATCTGCCTAAATCTTAATTAACATTTATACCAATTATATAATTAAATCATTAATCATTATTTACGTTGACGTAAAGTGTCATCATTTTCTTTTATTTTCAAAAAGGAGAAATTTTTAAATTGTGTTACATAATTGTTAATTCGAGCGATTTTATTGGCCGATATATTTGCGATAATCGAGTTATTTATTTCGAAAAAAAAAATTTTTTCTCGCAATCTTTTTTTTAATAAAAAAAGTCATTCGTCATTCGATTAATTGCAGCAAGTAGCAAATGATTATGAAAATTTATTCGAGATTCATGATGTGATGAATTACACTGGGGAAAATGAAAGCGTTAAAAAGATACACGGTAATGGGCCAAAAAAGAGAATGGAAAATTTATTATCGAAAAATTCAACACTTCTCCGTATATATATTTAAAATTAAACTAAGGAAATAATTAAAAAATCAACAGTGTGATCATATATATGTGATGAAGAACGGTTATTTTTCTGAAAATTTTTTAAAAAAAATTTATTAAGATATATTTTGTGGAAAGATCGACTTGACGTGTTGAAACTCTTGATAACCAACATTTAATTTCTTGTATTTATTATTATTTGAATAAATATCAACAATGAGTTTGTAAATCTAAATCCCGTAGGAATTCTTAAGTTTACCTATCAAAATCAAATGTTTAAGATCTTTCCCTTGATAAAATTTTTAAAGAACCCGAAAATTAATTTATTCAGATGAATTAGTAGAAATTCTTTGAAGAGAGATGACTTTTCTTTAGATGAAATCATTATATGAGAAAATCTGATGAAATGAATTTGTATTACAGCGTAGAGAATACGCCATACATATTCCATTTACTTTACCGAGCTAATAAGGATGGTATGGCAGCATTTCACGAGAAATGTGGCAATAAAGGAGCTACCGTAGTTATAGAGAAGATTAAAGGTGGTGGGAGGATAAAATCCACTTGAGTGGGACATGAGTAGAGGTTGGAACCGGTTAATACATTTGTCTTGTTAACGTTAAAGATTTTTTTTTAATTTTAACTCTAGCCGAAATTTGATTTTCGAGCAGAATTAAAATTTTTGTTATTACCAAATTTCGCTAGTTTTGCCCAAATTTATAGTGGCGGCCCGAGTTAAACTTAACCGATTAATTAACCGGTTAAAGTATTTTTTGGGTTGGTTCCAACCTCTAGACATGAGCAATGGTTATAAGTCGACTAAGGATTATCATTTAAACCTTCAAACCGTAAAGGTGAGTTATAGTAACGGGATCCATGGTCGGTGGTGTTAATTATAAAAATTCTTGTAGTAGTATTTAGAACTTATTCTTATCCCAATATTTACAGTATATTTCGGTGCTGATGATTATGAAGTATTTCAAGTGATTAAGAAATAATATAAATAGATTTCTGATTCAATAGAATTTAATGAAATTACCGATTAGTAGATACTGTTTAAAGAAATTGATTTATTATATCTATATACTTTAAAATAGATGCATTATTTTATAGCGGGATTTTAGATGTTTATACTTGTATGGGATGAATCTGTTGATAATAATAATAATATATACCACCCTCTTATGAATCTTTAAATCCTGTTTACGAAGAATTACATTATACCTAAAAAAGGCATGAAGCAACTTATAAATATAAATTTAATAGAATTTTGACATCATTTCAGTTTATATAAAATGACTGAATCTGCAAAAGAAATAAGTACTATCTTTATATCAAATATTAGCGTATTAAATGCTAAAAAAGTTCTTTAAAATCATTTAAAAAGTTACAACTTGTAGTAACAATTGTACAATATAGGAACTAATACTAAAAAAAACTTGGATCCAACATATTTGACAGCAGTAAATCAAAGACGCATCCAAAAGCTCTTATCGCGCATCTGAATGGGATATATCAAAATAAAATAAAAATTTGAAATTATATCCTATGAGTAAATGTTCTAAAATAACTACAAAACTTGGAAAGAAGAATGAATAAACACATGAATGATCAAGAAAGCGGACATTTTATATAAAACCAAGACGCGGAGTTCTTCCTCTTGAGGATATAATCTGAAGGCAAACGCATCAATATTGTTGATTGAAAGACAAAATGTGCGAAATGCAGTGATTCAAATCATTGAAACAATCCGGATGTTCTTTACTATGATAGGTATTTCTGTGAAATGGTTATGTAAAAAAAAAATTTAAAATAATCCAATTATCCGTGATGTGATAATTTGTCATTTTAATCATTGCAAGGTAACAAGAATATAATCATTTGCAATTTGTAATCCCAATACGAGACGCAATATAAGGAAGGGGTAAAGAAAAAAATGTTTGGACTTTTCTCCTAAAAAAAGAGAAAATCATCATCCCATTTAACTAATTATGAATATACAAACACACGAATTCGAAACGGCGTGATTATTTGAATACACGTGGATATCACGTGATTCGAGTAAATGACAATCTCTCTCGTTTGTTATTGCGTTTCTTTAAAAATACCTGCATTTTCTTCTCTTTACACTAATCCTTTGCATACATACCCTCCTACACCCTAAACCCCTTATTTTAACACTTCTCCTTCCTTTTCAACTTTTTTTTAAAAAAATAACAAGTAGATGTTACCTAAAAATCATGTTGTACTACGCCATGTAAAGTTAAATGCATTGTCCAAACAAGGAAATTAACTGTTTTCCGTGTTGATATATTGAAGCATCCTTTACCGTTACATTTTATTGGTGGTTGGATTTTGTCGAAGATGCACAGCATCGGACTAGTCAGAATGTAGCATTGGATCTTTATTATAAATACGTTGTATGACTTAACATGTAAATAATAAACAATAAAAAAATCAAAAAAAACGCGATAAATCGTATATGATATTTAGATCTATTTTTAGATAATTTATTTATAATTTTAATATGTAATGTAATATACAAAGATTTTTCAGGAATCCTAGTAGTAATTATAATTAATCTATCTCTATTGAATAAATTAATTTATTTCTTAAAGATTTGAAATACTTCATAATCTTCTATTGCAAATCGAGTGTCGTCATCTCTTATCAACTTTTCATATGAATCTTTTTGACAAAAATTACTGTTATAATCTGAATGTTCGTTTGATGAATGCAATACAAGATCACCTCCAAATGATGGACCACATTGTTTTCCGTATGTTAAAGAACGATTGTTGTCTACGATATTACTGAAATTTATATCGTTAAAATAATTATTTCTACTTTTAAAAGAAAATATAAAACTGTCCTCACAATGACCCCAATACTTTGACGTTTCCCATATCGTAGAATTATATCCTCCAAGAATTTCTTCTGTTCCGCATACTTTGATGAACGTGACCGTGTTGGGTTTATTATCACACAATGAATGAAATGTATGAGGTGTTAATCCATCTTGACTTCCTCTTAGTAACAATTTGAACTCATATGGTAAATATAATTCACTTCTTTGAGAAAATTTATTATTGATATCTAATTTATCGATCCACTTTGAAACCAAGGACATCATATTTATATTAACAATCGTTGAATCGACGTAAGTGTTTCTGGGAACCGAAATATTATTACCAGGCACGTTTTCAAAATCCAAATAATACTTTAATAATTCATCATAAAATTTTGGTTTCAATAATTGTTTATATGGGTGAACGTGTTTTAAATAATCTTTAGAGGATAAACTATAAAATCTAATTAATGGCAAACAATTTTGTAAAGTGTTTTCTATTGTTTTGAAATCATCATCGGTCCAAGTCGCAGGATCCAATGCCAGCGTAGGATTTTGTGCGATACCCCATTCTAGTACATACTTCCAAACTTCTGTTTCTTGCATTTGTAAGTCATTCCTTTTAAGGAGTGAAACTAAGGATTTTTCTGGAATTGAAGTAAAATCAAGCGACTTAAATATCTTTTCAGGAAACTTGGCCATAAATTCCGTGCATGATGTTTGAAGTTCTAACATGTATTTTGATTGAAAACTTGTTCGATGAATCAACTCGAAATGTTTTTCCATCCAATCAAGTTTATTCTGAATTAAATCTTTTTGTATAAAATTAATTAATTCAAGAAGTGATAGTTTATCCGCTGCATCCAAAACTTTAAAAACTTCTAAAGCGTCCTGATTATTCAGTGAAAAGTTCCCACAATATATATACCTATATAACAATGAAATTATCATTAACACAAATTAATAGATAAAACAAATAAAATAAAATATAAAAAATAGACGGATCATAATTGTTTACTTTAAAATAATTTCAAATGTTTCTGGCACGATATTTGGTAATTTAATATAAGACGAGTCATTATGATTTCTT